GTGTGTGTGTGTGTGAGAGCGCGGGGTGCGTGCGCGCGCGGGGCCTGCCCATTTTCCTCCTCGCAGCAGTCAGTTGGGAGCTAGAGGAAGGGAGAGGGAGACACAGTCTGAGAGAAGCAGGAGCGGAGCCGAACGCCCTGCCCTCCCTGCGTCCGCGCACAGCCGCCGGCGCCAGGAGCTGCAAGGTGCCTTCGGGCCGGCGAGGGGCAGCGCTCACGCCTGCTAGGGGGACGCACCTGCAGGCGGCACGGACGGGGATGCCCAGCGGCTGCTGCCGTCTAGCACGCTAGCAGGACGCGGTGAGGGCACCATGGCGCTGACGCCCGGGCGTGGGTCCTCGGCAGGGCTGGTTCGGCCGGAGCTCTGGCTGCTGCTGTGGGCAGCCGCGTGGCGCCTGGGAGCCATGGCGTGCCCCGCCCTCTGCACCTGCACGGGCACCACGGTGGACTGCCACGGCACGGGGCTGCAGGCAGTCCCTAAGAACATCCCGAGGAGCACTGAGCGCCTGTGAGTACAGCCTCCTACCCTGCCCGTGCCGAGCCGCGAGGGCACGCTCCCACTAACACCCAACTGGGGGCGGCGGCTGGGGGGGGCGGTTGTTGGGGCATGGATCCCACGGCCAGCAGATGGGTCAGTACCTGCTGGGATCTCTCCAGAGCCAGGAGTGCCGCTGTGGGCTCCTGAATTCAAGGGGCCTTGTGTGGTTGTCTGCCCATCCTCACACCTGCACCCTGCACCCTGCAGTAGCAGGCCCTGCCCACTGCGCCAGCACTTTATTCCTCCAGGGTGCCTGGAGATTCGTGGCAGCCAGCGTCCTGACACCCAGGAGGGAAGCTTCCCATGCTTGCCAGGCACAATGTCTGCTTCTGGACACATGGGGCTTGAGCTGTGTTCTGAGTGGTTGCCTCAGCTTGGGCTCTGAGGACTTGCTGCCTGGTGATGGGCAGCATGGTGCCTTGGAGTTGAAGTTTCTGGTTTCCTCCTTTTTGTCCATTGTTTGTCGTAGAGCCTTGATAATTGTCCCCTGCAGGTGTTTCCTGCCCCCGTCCCCAAGTCCAGCCACCCCAGACCCAGGCAGACAATGAAACCCGGGGGCTTAGGCTTTGGAGCTTGTTACATTTGGCCCCCAGAGAGGGGTAGTTGTATCCTGGACTGGGAGCCTCATGAATTATGCTGAGTGGTCAGGAGCTTGGAGCAGAGACACACGGTTAAAGACATTGAGCAGGACAAGTCATAAAAATCACCCTTTTCTTCCTATGTTCTCTCCTACTTCTGAATTCTTGAAGAAACTGTCCTTTCTAGACTCTACGAGCTTTGTAGGGTGTGTGTGTTTAATGACCTGTATAATTTGTTTTCTGCCATTCTTCTGCAGAATGTGTGTGTCTGTGTAAATTCCTAGTATCTACAGGACACCTCTGTAGTGTGAGGCCATGAGAGTCCACATGTGAGGGCTGTGTGTAGATTTTTGGCCACTGGCTGAGACTTTGTACTGCTCACAGAGGTGACCACACCAGGAGAATTTTGATCGGGACTTTGGAGAAGGCTGCTCTGAATCCTTTGAAACTTGCCTACTCTTTCTTGCATGCCTGGGTGACTGCAGTGGCTCTCAGGAAGGGCATACATATTTTGATAACTTTTGAGCATGTTTTCATGGCTCCCAGCTGGTCAGAGGCAGGCATCTGACCCTGGGGAGAGCTGGATCAAACCCTGAACCATGGCCAGCAATTAGCAAGCACATACTTGCCCTGAACTCTTCTTGGCTGAGTTAGAAACATTCCCGTGGAGGTTTCAGAGAATTTGCAATCTGTGTGCAATCTAGGTGGGAATTGATGTGGTATGTGTCTCTGAATACATGTGTGTTGTGAGGCTGGGAAGAAATGGTGAGGTGGAGAGGTGGGACCCAGCCAAGATTCCCTGGGGCAGCCTGTGCATTGTCCTGTGTGGACCTGGAGAGGAACTGAGCACCAAAAACCTGCCCAGAGGACCTCTGAGGTCAACAGGTCACCTTCTCTGCCTGTTCCCTCTGGGCCTATTCCCTATTCCCCTGGCCTTGTCCACTGGGGCATTTCTCCTGCAGCTGTTACCCTGGCAGCAGCATAGATCTGAGACACATCAGCCCCTTTCTTTTGCTTTGGGATCTTAGTGTTTAGGATAGTGCCTGTCTTGGCTTTCATGAACCCTTTAATCTTTTGCAATCTGTGGGATGGAAGTAAGTTTCCTAGTACAGAAGAAAGAATTGGGGCTCAGGACTGACAGCACCCAGCTCTGTCGATCATTCACTGGGTAACCTTGGGCAAATTCATAAACTCCTCAGAGCCTTAGTTGTTTCCCATCAGGAAAATGAGGCTGAGGATATATCTGGTCTCTGGTTCATATGAGGATGGAAAATAATAGATGGGAGTGTCTATGTCCTTCTACTTGATAAATGAGAGCCTATTATGATAGACTCTATCTTATTAAGATAGGATAGGGAGACAAGTCTCATTAATTTAATCCAAAAAATGTTTATCAAGCTAGGAGCTGCCTGGGGTGTGAGGATCCAACAGGGAGTGATCCTGTCCTTTTTTCAAGGGCCATGTGATCTGGAGGACTGGCCAAGTGTCCCTAACTATAACCTCTTCAGAGAGGGCTGGCCCAGCAATGTGATGGGCTGTGAGATATTGGGCATGAGAAGCCCTTTTCTGCGTTGAAGGGGATTCTCAGGGGATGAGTCCTTTTATCATGGTTGGGTAGGATTTTGCCAAGCAGAGAGGGCAAGCAATGCAGGAAAAAGGAGCAGTGTGGTACAAAGCCTGCTGCTGTGGGTGGGCCTGGCCTGAAGTGGGCAAATGGACCAGCTTGTCCCTGGGGCTGAATCATGAAGTGTCCATGGATGGGAAGGGGCTGGGGCTGGAAAGGGTCAATAAAGCCCTTCATTATCTGGACATTTCCTTTGGGGACTTCTGGGTCAGACTCCAGGAGCCAGTTAGCCTGGTAGAGGGAGTGGGAGAAGGTATGATCTTTGCTAAGTATGGCAAGCTTCTGAGGTTGGAAGACAATGTGGGAAGAGGAGTGAGCCTGCCTGTTCACCGAGCAGGCCTTGGAAAAGCCACTGGAAGAGGGTGAGAGCATCCTGAAAGAAGTGAGGGCCCAGGCAGACTCAGAACAACTGGCAAATGCTCTCTAATCAATGTGGGTGTTGTGTGGTATCTGAGCCGGAAACAGAGATTTGATCTGAGGCTGCAAATTTTTACAGACTGCAGCTATGCATTTGTTTTTGTCCTTTAGGCCGCTCCTGTGACAGCCTGGGCAGCCAGCAACTTATGATCATATATTCCATAGGTCTAGACCTGTCCCCTCATATGGGAAGAAATTATTATTGGTTTGCTTTGAGGACTTCTAGGAAGAGGTTATGTGGGTCCCAGAGCTGCTGAGGAAACTGGTTCAGCCAGAGGCACTGTGGGTCACTGGGCTGGGTGGGAAGCAATGCTAAATAATTCACTGTAATGGGCCAATTTAAAATACAGAGCAAGAGTTGGGGGGAGGTACTGGATGAGGTCTGGGAAGTGTCATCTCTTTGCAGGGCCTAGGCTGAGAGCGACCCAGCCGTGGCCACTATTAACTTTTTTTCCATCTCATTCAAGAACTATGACTTTGGGCCAGGGATTTAGCTCAGTGCTTCCACTGCCTGCCTTACAAGTGGAAGGTCCCGAGTTTGATCCCTAGTACCAAAAAAAAAAAAAAGAACTATGACTTTCTGTTGGTTTTTTATTCATAATTTAAAAAATCTTTTGCACTACAATGTCTTTCCTCTGCTTCCTCCCTCCTCCCTGGGCCCTTGTATTTTAGGTTTGCCACAGATCCCCCCTGTAGCTGCAGAGAGGGGAGAGGCATTTGCCTGGCCCCCTGGCAGATTGTCCAAGGAAGGAGAGAGATGGGATAGGACCCCTGGGAAGGTAGGCCTGCTGGGTTTCATTTGCTCACAGGGGTCCTACTCTCTTGCTGTCCTCTTTATGTCCCCTTGCCTCTTTGCTGATCAGTTTGTTAACTTTGTCCTAGCTTGGTGCATGCTGCAAAGGCTGTTCCTCACCTTGGCTCAGCTGACTGATGCTGGAGGTCCCATTCACCAGGACTGGGTGCTCACACACAAGGTCGACTGCCCATGCTATCCCAGGACTGATGATCTGAGGAGCCTGTTTGTAATTCCAAATAATGATTGGTGGCTGTAGTGAGTGAGATCAGTGGCCACTAAAGCCACATCTATCACCATAGCCTGGCTGGCCTGGACTCTCTGGGTGTCTGCAGCAGAAACCTGTGCTGCACTGGGAAGTGGCCTCCTGGTAGGTCTCCTGCTCTTGTAGGCTTTGATATGGTAGCCAGTGTGCTGGGCTTATTGATGAGCTCTGCATGACTGGGGTTGGGCCCTAGTGCTGTCCTTCCACCTGCTGTGAGACCCCATTCTTCAGGTAAAAGGGGACAATGACAGCTCTGCAGGTTGATGGTGAGGAGTAAGTGAAGAAGGAATTGCTTGTAGAGAGGGTGTGGCATCATGTTTGGCATGTGGCTGATGTCCTACCCTCCCCAAGTTTATTACCTTTTTCCTTTGCAAAGATTCACTCATGCTTTTTTATTCAAACGGGTGACAACATCACTGCTATTTGAGAAGCCCAAGCTAAAACCTTGAGGTTTGGGTTGGGGAGAAGGGATCTTAGAGTTAGGGCTTTGAATGTCGGCCATGCTGCAGGCTACTTTCCTGGACTCTGCCTGCTCAGGGTGGGTACTTGCCACACCTGGGCACCTTTGTCCTCACCTCCTAGGATTGGAGTCAGGAGTGGGAACAGCAGTGTGGAGGTAGTGATGGTACAGCTCTGGAGTGGAACTGCCTTGGTTTTTAGCCTCACACTGCCTCAGCAGCTGGGTCATGCTGGGCAAGTTACAGCATTTGATTCACTCATTCTACAGAGAGTCCTGTCTATTGAATCTGACTTGTTCAGAGTGCTTGGTGAAAATGTTCTTCTTTTCCCGAGTTTCAGTCCTGCAGGGGAGCTAGAGATGAATGACACAATATAAGAATAAACACATAATTGCAAACTGGGCTAAGTGCTTTGAAGGAAAGAGTGTTTCCCAGATCTCCTACTTCCTCGCCCATAAAGTGGGGGAGATGAGAGGGCCTGCTTCATAGGATGGGCCTGAAGGTTGATACGATAATACGCCAAGAAGCTTTGTGCACTGGGCTGCAGACAGCAAGTGCCCAATAAACGGTGGTTATTGTTGTTATTAAGGTGACAGGGAATGGCAGGCATGTGAAGAGAACTTGGGTACCCCTCAATGTTGGGTCTCACTGTGGTCTTTCCCTTCCCTCACCAGGCAGCCCCCCCCCTCCGAACCCTGTAGCCACGGGCAGCACGTGGGAATGGGCTACCTTCTTTGGTGCCCCTTCTCTGGCCGTGGGCTGGCTGTTGGTGGCCCAGGCTGCCCGAAGTTGCCAGCAGGGGCGGCAGTGCTCTTTTGGGAGTGGCTGAGGGGCG